GCGTCCAGGGTTGATCGCCCTTTCCGGAATCCATCCTGGTTGTCTGCCAGGAGTGGGTCGACTACTGCATTTATTCGTTGATGAATTATGCGCTCAAATATCTTACCCGCCGTATCTAGCATGCAAAGTGGTCGGTAAGATGACGGTTTTTCTGGTGGTTTCTTCCCTTTAGGTAACAGTACTAATCGTTGCTGTTTCCACTTACGAGGAAAATTCCCCTCCTTGAGACATGCATTATAGGCGTCTAGGAATAATGTTGGAGCTGCCTTTATGATAGTTTTCTAGGCTAAATTAGGGATTCCGTCCAATCCTGGCGCTTTATTATTCCCTACACGGTTACAGGCCTCCAGCAGTTCTTCTTCAGTGACAGGTGGGATGTTGTCCAATTCGCCTGGCGCCAACTGGTAAGGCCTACCCCACACGTCTTTATTCACTTCGTATATAAGCTCTTTCCAGCATTTTCTTTTGCTCTCTTTGATGGCTTTATTCAGTTCACGGCGCGCCTTTTTGTACTCTGCGATCACTTCCACTGAGTTGGGCCGTTGATAGCCGCGCTGAGAGATTTTTCTTTTCTTATGACACTCTTTACGGAGGTCGCTGATGTGGTCGTTCCACCAATGGACCGAAGGTCTCGACTTTATGGCACGTTTACGAGGCATACTGGCATCACAAGCATGTGTTACTTTCCTCATCAGGTCCTTAGTCTGTTCTTCTGCACATCCAATGTTGATCTGATCGCCATCGAGGGCTATTAGTAATGCTTCTGGGTCAAAAGATTTTACCTTCCAGCCAACGATGTTAGACTGCTTGACTGGTCTCTTGGGGTTCTGGTCGCTTGATATTTCCCAGAATATCGCATGATGGTCGCTGGCAGTGTAGATGTCCAACACTTTCCAGTTGCAGTCGCCTCTGGCAAGGCTATTATCGACAAAAGTGAGGTCTACTATATCACTTTGGCTTCCTCTTTAAGGATGTCCGCGATGGTCTTTTGTAGGGCTTCGCCTCTATCAGCACTCTTTCACTCGAAAGTGTGATCAGCATGTCCCCGGTATTGGTCTTGTGGATTTTTTCCACAGTCGTACGGACCTGTTCATCAGGGACAGACTGCTTGATTCGACGCAGAATCTCGGCGTATTTCTCCTTCTCGGCAGGGCGAATGATCAGTGCGTCGGGTCTGATCCATTTGCGGGGTTTTTCCCGCTTACGCTCCGGCCTGGGCTCCTTCGAAGTCTGCTTTAGGAGCTGCTCTTCGGCTAGTCTCCTCTTCCGATCTCTAACACTCACTGCGTACTTCCTGATCAAGGCCCGAAGTGACTGGCTCCTGATCCACTACTGCAACTTACACCTCGGCAGAGCAAGCTCACATCAGCCGTGGCCTGCATCGTCGGAAACTACGATACAGGTTCCGGACACTCCCAGTGAGTTACAACAGGGACCGATCGTCTTGTTAGGTCAGTTAGTGTGACCAACCCATTAAAGGGGAGTTTTGTCCATGGGAGCGTATTTTAGTTGGTTTAGTAAAATAAATTGTGTTCATTAATATGTTAAAAAGTTATGAATCCTGTCACATTTTTTCAAATAAATTGCAAAATTTTAAGAGTAACTCAGATTGCAAATCAAATTTTCGGGTTATAGGAATATTTAACATTAATTTCACTTATAATACAGTTGAAGGCGCGCAGTAGCCTATCGGATCCGGCCCTTGCTTACCAATGCATTGGACCGGGTTCGAGTCCGGCGTACACCAATGAATATTTTCAATATTCAAGTGTATTATTCTGCTCAGCCCAAGAAATAAAAAAGGCCATTCGGCAGCCGAAATGGAAGTAGATTTCATAACAATAAAAAAAACGACTAGGATATACAAAAAAAAAAAATCTGTCATTACACAGATTTCCGCATCACCCATGTGGTACCGTGTAGTTTAATGCGTTCCCCTTTTTTTACGTGGTGGGTCCCCAGTAGGCCTTGGTATGGTAAAAGTTTCAATAATATTATAACACAATCTAAACTGTCAAGTATAAGAATCGCCCCAGCTGATAATCGTGAAAAATTTTACTTGTATTTAGATTCTAATTCGAAGCATTACATTCCATTGAAAATAAAGAAATATATAGAATATAATATTACATCGTTAACTACAACGTTGAAAATTAATTTCTCTAATTTAATTCATTCTCTGGATAACAGAATTAATGTCTATTAATGATTAGAGACAATCAAATTAAATTTTGTAACAATAATTTTGTAAATAATAATTAATTAGGTATGAAATTGAAAATAATGAATTTTAGACCTCTATAATGTTCAAAGTGACATTTTTGCTCCCTTCCCTCCTCTCTACGTGGTAAAGGCCTACTGGGGACCCGCCACGTTAAAGAAAGGGCACGCATTTTACTACACAGTACCTCATGGGTGATGCCAAAACCTGTGTAATGACAAAATTACTGACTAACTGATGTTCTTATAGATGAAATAATAATAGATAATATTTAGCGCGTTATATCCCATATATATATATATATATATATATATATATATATATATATATATATATATATATATATA